TCATCTTCACAGTGCTTTAAACCAGAGGTTCTCAAACTGGGGTCCCAGGACCCCCAGGGGTTTGAGAGAGGTATCTTGGGGGTCCTCAAAAAATTTCACTAAATTGTTAATTTGTTTTTTTTATTTTTTTTAAATGCACAGGGAACAATGAACTAATAAAACAATAATAATAAACTAAATAACAAATATATTCCCATGACATTTAGGTATTGAAACGACAGTAAATTACCCTTTAAAAAAGCATGGGGTTTATGAGGGGGTCCCTAGAATTTTTTTGCCCTTGTAAGGGGTCCCCAGACCCAAAAAATTTGAGAACCCCTGCTTTAAACAGTCAGACGCTGAGAGTCCACAGACTTCAATAGTGAAGCAAAAGAAGTGAAACGAGACGAGTCATTGGATAAATGCTGGGCTTTGTCCCGCCCCCGGACGCTCAGCATCTCTGGGGGTCTATGGAGCAGTGGGCGAGTTCGGACGCCCAGATTCTACATGATGATTGGATGATCTGTCTGAGGCTGAATCCCTTTTTTGATTGACAGCAAAATGAGTGAATCAGAGATCTTTTGGTGTAAACATTCAGTGGGAGCAGTTTTTAGTTTAGTTTCTGTTCTGAGCTGAACCGGAGAGATTTTCCTAATCCTCTTAGCTGCATTTTCTTTGTTAAAAATGACTAGCAACAAATCGAGTTTTTATTTCTGGTGGGTTTTATTGTATCTGCTTGTGTTTGGAGACAGACTTCTATCGCTTTCTGACATCTATCACAGTTTCAGTCCAGCGGGGGCTGCTGAAACCCTCCGCCGTCACAAAGCACTCAAAGGTGGACACACTTCACTCTAGCCTCGCGCCAGTCCCAGCTAGTGAGTTAGCTAGGTAGCAAGCTGCACATAACGGCAGAGAGTTTGAATGTTGTGKACYGGATTTTGGAGAAGCCATTTGATACAGTCTTGTTTACAAAGAAAAAAGAGTTAAACAGCAGGGCTGATCAACTCCTCAGATTAATTTGGTGCAAAAGGTGGGGAAAAGTAACAGGTCTTTTCAGCTGTCCTGGTATAACAAAGTGAGCTGACTGCTGTAAAAGACTATAGAATAATCTGGAAAATGATTATAAAAGCATTGGATCAATTAATTCCTTTTAAAAATCATCAAAGCAAATAAATATGAAATTGTTTAATTTGAATGAGTCACTGTTTGAGGAGTTGAATTTTTTGTTTTATTTGGTTTATTGTTTGAAATTAATATTTTTTGTAAATAGGAGCAGTTATCAAGATCTTTTTCTTCTGCTACCTTTCATTTTATTTTATTTGTATTGTTTTGTTGTATGTAATGTTTAGTTTTTAAAAATGAAATGAATAAATACTATAAACTAAAAAAAACATCTGTGACAGGGTCACAGACAGTTTTCTGGAAAAGGAACGGAAGGTAGAATTTATAACCCACACATTTTATTATGTGGGCCGAAACTGAGCTTCCTCTCCTTGAAAGACCAGCATCCATCACTGCCTACGAACAAGCTTTTTCACATTTACTGCTCAAATGTACATTCACGGTTAGGACTGGGGGTTATAGATCAGACAGGAGGTGGGTCTATGATGTCATTGTTTTTAAAGATTGTGTTTATGCTGTCCACACAAGAAAGGAAGGGTAGTGATTACTGAATACTGTATGTCAGTACTTTGTAGTGCACGATATATTCTTGCCTACTTCTGGTTCTTTGACATAGTCTAAACAGTGTTCACATCTACCTGTGTTTCAGCTGTGCACTCCAGTCTAACTGACACCAGGCAACATTATACGTTGAGAACATTTCTCTCACATTGTAAAATACCAATTAAACATAAAATTCTATTTAAAGTCAACAACAAAAAAAGAACAGGTGCAATGGACAAAAACTAAATGTGAACACCAATCGTGGATACCAGCTGTATCTGGGGTGTGGTGCCCAATTTTACTTATGCACATTAGTAACTAAAAAGGTGAATCCATGTGTGGATGGCCTTAAATTTATTCCCCTCTTTGGCACCACAGATGCATGTTGGGAACCAATTATAGCATCTCTACAACTAAGCTAAGAACCAATAAATTGATATGTACAAGAAAGTACTGTATGCATTTTCCCCAACCCACAAAGGATATTTCACCAAAGACCAGGTTTTAGTCCCCATATGAACCACTGGTTCTGACAAAGTTGGTTATTATACCAGAAATAGTCCTAAAAATGTTTCAAAAACCAAGTATACCTTCACACACAGAAATAATAGGACTGATTAAAACAAAAATACCAATGGTGAGCACAGTTCCACCAAAGCACTAATAGGGGAACCAATTTCCTGATTAGTGCTTTAGGGTTTTTGCTACTTTTTTATTTATTAGTGGATTAGCACTTGCAAAATTTATGTGCTAAATTTAGAAGCACTAACTGAGGTCTTTAAATGTTATTGATCAATATTATTGTTCATAGTTGAGGGTTAAAGCATCATACATTTTGTTTGTATGCTTGTCACATATATGTACAAGGTCATGTGTCAAACTCAAGGCCCACGGGCCACATATGGCCTGCAGGTAACTCCCATTTAGCCCACCAAGGGAATAAGAAATTGTCTCTTGTTGACTCTGAAGAGTGTTTCATGCATCATCTGGATTACATTAGTGCTTTAGAATTAGCTTTTGCTAATTTTTTTCAGTGGGTTAGTGCTTTAGAATTAGGGGACCTGGATATCTGAGTTAGTGCTTTAGGGTTAGTGCAAGTAATATTTAAATTAGTGCTGTCCACCACTGAAGAATACATGTATAAAATAAAAGTTATAAGTTTAAGCAGTAACGGGTCAGGTTTTATGTTTTTGTTAGTGGTTATTTTTGTTCGATGACTAGATTTATTTCCTTTTGCTGTGTTTTTTGATTATTGTGTTTAGTTCTGTCACTTTGTGTTTTCACCTAATGAAACATTTTGTGTGTTCTCTACTTAGGTTCCTGCCATGCCCACTCACACTTTCATCTCGTTTCATTAGTACAGCTGCAGCCAATCTTCCCATCAGTTCAGGCACATCAGTTTTACATCACACATGATTCAGTATTATAAGTTTCACATGTTTACTTCTCCTGCATTTTCCTTTTTGTGCTCCTTTTTTGTTTTATATTGATATAAGCTTATATTTGAGCTCCTCATGTCTAGTCTGCATTCTGAGTCCAAACCTGTTATGAAACTGTGACAGTATCATTAATCATAATCGTTGTTATTTTAACCATTGTATTGCCCGATAGCTAGTTTTATTGCTGTCTTTTTATGGTCATTTATAAGCCTATATACATGTGTATATTAGTGAAGAATGGCTCTTTGAGGGGATCTGTATCTTGGGGAGCCGTTTGTTTCACAGAGCCGTTCAAAAGAGCCATTCGATTTTGAACGAGTTACGTCATCACGTATGGCACCGTGATGACATCATCACGTTACGTGGGTGGAACCATGTGTTTTGTCGAGCAGATGGCCAGGTAAATATAGGTGTGTACATATAT